CATCTACCTCCTCCCACCCCCTTCTCCCACCTATGGTTCTATGGTGATATGCAAGATATTCATCAGTATGGCTATGGGATAAGGCCAGTTCAGTCACCGTCTCCTCTGCTGCCCAAGGACCTAGCTGGGGAAATCCTCATGGACAACTGGGAACCCCCCTAGAGCCAAGTTTCTTCCCAAACCTAAAATGGCTCCCTTAGTTAGTTATGTCTTCTTTCCTGTTCCTATATCTACCCTTCCTCCATTTCAACCACTTTGGAAATAAGTGTGGTGGTTTCTCAGGAAACTGGAAGTCAACCTTTCTCAGGTTCCCACAATTCCATTCTTAGGAATACATCCAAGAGATGCCCAATCATACTACAAAAGCCTTTGTTTAACTATGTACATAGCAGCACGATTTGTAATAGCCAGAACCTGGAAACAACCTAGGTGCCTCTCAATAGAAGGATGGATAAAGAAGTTGTGGCACATATACACTTTAGAGTTATACTCAGCAGTAAGAAACAATTACATCTTGAATTTTGCATTCAAATGGATGGAAATAGAAAACACTTTACTGAGTGAGGTAACCCAGACCCAAAAAATGAAGATGGTATGTACTGACTCATAAGTGGATTCTAGCCATAAATAAAGGACATTGAGACTATAAATCGTGATTCTACAGAAGCTAAGTAAGAGGGTGAACACAAAGAAAAACATATATTTATCCTCCTTGATATTGGAAAGATAAGATTGCTGGGCAAAGGTTGGGAGCACAGGGGTGGGTTGGAAGGAAGGGGTGATGGGGAGAGAGAATGAATTGGGTATCTTAAAGGTAGAGAGGGTAGTAGTTTTTCATGTCTTATCTGAACACATAGGTTTACAGAATAGCTCTAGGCATTCTCACAGTTACTCTCTATACTAAGATAACAATTATTTCTAAGATTTATAAAAGCCAAACTCCATAGAAAAACTAGATGTAAGCTGAGGGATGCAAGCCTGATACATAAATGTAATTTAAGGAAGAGGAAAGCAGCCAAAAAAAATCTATCAATTTATGTGTTGGTGGGAGAAATTAGGAGTTCCATTTATGAGATCTAGGTGATGGATGTTGTTAAACTCAGGGAAAACTAATTTGAATTTTGCACATCCTCTCAAATTGGAGGATCATATTTTCATTGTATATAACACTTACATGTCAGAGAAAATAATGTTGTCAATAAATCAGAACTACACATCCTACAGAAGATCATGTGCTTTATAAAATTTAGTTTGTAATTAGCTTTGAATATTCTGACACTTTCTCAGAACAGGTGACAATGAAATTCACAAATCTTCACAATCTTTTGTATCAGTGCAAGTCTATTTTTAATTTTTTTAAATTTTATTTTTATTTTATATGCATTGGTGTTTTACTATGAGTGATCTTCTCTTCACATTATTGAGCTATTTCCCATCTAGTTTAAGTAATATTTCTGGTGAGTTTCTGCTGATGCACAATTATTTATGTATGAGAATATATGATTAGGAATCAGATTATTTCTATAGGATTCTAAAAGAAAGAAAAAAATTCAGTATGGTTTTGTAATCTGTTTAGTCTCAGTTTCTAGTCTATTAGAGACATGTGGGGTATTCTTTCCAAACCAGGCTCTTAATCATAATCCTCATAGTTACTTCATTTCACCCATGAATTTGAGGCACTTTGATAAAAAAAAAATATCTGATTCTTCTTGATTCTTACTTTTGTGCCAAGTTGCACATGAAAGGGAGAAATTTTGTTCTTTCTAAATGAAGCCATAACATGCAGGTTAAATTTCAGTCATATCTCATATTTTCTATTCCTGTGAAGCTTCTGATAACAATAGAGAGATTTTTGTTCTTTGAGAACATAATTGTGTAGGAACATCAAAAATAGATGATCTGCCTCATATTGGGAGGTGCAATTATAATTTTGAAATGCTCTTTTAGCTTGAGTGTGGAATTATAGGAATGTCCTTATCCAAGAAGCACATCTGGTAACAATGTATTGACACCTTTGCTAAAATACTCCTATTTTTTAACAATAAAGTGGGTTAACTTTTCATACTATATCACCAATTGTACTGTGACATTTTCAGTTCCATTCACATATTTATATAAGTTTATGAATGGCATATATATAAGCTTCTTCATATATATATACATATACATATATATGGTTATAATTGCTTTATATAATTTAGAATTTCATGTGTAAGTGCAGTATTTATATTACTTCATAATTCTTCCTCCTACTGTATTCTTTACTAGTATAGATATTCAGTGAAATATCTGCATTAGAAAATGTCAAAATAATTACAATAAGTCAGACTGTTATTTTATATTTTTGTGCATATGCAAATATCATAAACTGTATAAAGAATGGGGTGATTATATGTAACCCTTTTAGCTTATCATTTTGAACTTTAAAACTATCAATATTATTTTACATTAAAAGCAGATCTTTTCTGTTTATGTATTAAATTTTTGTCTGTGACATTTTTGCCATGTGTGGGAATTTGAGAGGTTTTCTCATCTTTGTCTGTGTTACAATTTTTGATATCACTTGCTTACACTATTTTTGATTTTAATTGCTTTTTTTTTACTTTTTAGTTGGAGTTATTATTTTCTAAACTTAGTTTTTTTTTCTTTTTAATATGCTCTCCTGAGTGAGAGGTGATTTATGCTGTGAGTTGGTTTTATTGCCACTGGCTAATTAACAAGATGCCTTCAACAAATGTCTTTACAGAGTAAAGCCAGGCTCAAAAATGAACAGAGAGAGTAGAGAAATTCTGGGAGAATCCATGTAGCTACTGCCAGAGGCAGATGCCTCCAATGGGGCCTTCCCAAATTTTGCCATTAAGTTATATAGTAATGAACAGATTTCTGAATATTGGTTAGTTTAGGATAAAGGAGCTAGGTACAACAAACTTAAGGGAAGAAATTGGTCAAATAGTACAGTAAGTAATATAGTTTCTTAGTTATTATTTCAAGTCAGGGCAGTTATGAAATGAACTAGCAGTGTGGTCAACTATATCCATGTAAAATCTGAGAAAGTTTCAAAAGAAATGCTAGACACAAAAGGACAGAGTTAAGCATGGCTTTATGATAGTATTTTCTTGGGAGGAATCAGATTGCTAGTATCAGGCTGAGGCATTATTTTTATTTTCAGACAAGACTTCCTGACTCAGTGGTATCAACAAAATCTACAAAACGCACTTAAGAAAGCTCCCAGGTTCATGCTAGTTGCAGGATTAACAACGATCCTTTCTGGTGGTGTGGCTGAAGAGCATTTAACTGTGGATTGTGATCAGATTACAACAACTTAATTAATTGCAATCCAGACCTGGGGAGACCTTAGGTGAGAACCATGCTGGAACCTGGGTCTGAGAGAAATGCTCTCAGAGGCAGTAAACATGCCTTCACCATGATGGACTAAATGAAACTGACAGGCATGATGGCAGAGTTAGTCCTAGCCATGCCTGCTTAGCATTTAAAATGTTTCTGGTCAGAAAACAGTTAAATGTATAAAAGAAAAAACTGGTTGCAAACACTAAAACAAAGTCTTTAAATAGACAAAGTATAGATAGTCATAGATTAAATGAGTAAAGAAAAACAAGTCGTATAAAGATAGAAAATACACAGAGAGACTGGATTATGTACATTATTGTCTTTTATTTCTGACTGTTGTTGCATGGAGAGTGGGCCCATTTGTTCCATCCGGGCTGGCCTTCTAGTTTTCACCTGAAATAATCACACAGAAACTGTATCCATTTCACACTGCCTGCCCCATTTGCTCTAAATTCTTATTGGCTAACTCTTACATATTAGTTTAACCCATTTCTATTAAATCTCTGTATTGCCATGTTACTGTGACTTACCAGCAAGATTCTAACCAGCATTGTCTCAGGCAGGAGATCCATGGCATCTCTCACTCTTCCCCTTTTCAGTTCACTCTACTCTCTGCCTACCTAAGTTCTATACTATCAACTAGGCCAACACAGTTTCTTCATTCATTAGTAATGAAAGCAACACACCAACAGAAAGAACTCCCACACCCGACTGTATATGAGTTAAGTACAGAGGGACATTTCATAGTATGTGGTGCTAATCTAAGCCAGCATATATGTTTCAAATATATTTTGACTTCACAATTTGGTTCTAGTTGTATATTATATTTGTATATAATTCATTATATCATATTATATGTAACATTTAATTATAATTTGACTGCATATAAACTATACATATAAACAGGCAAAAACCAATCACAAAAATCAGAAAATAAGATGCATTTGCAGCCCACATTCAAAATCAAAAACTAAAGACAGAAATGAATGCTTGCATGTATATAGGTAAATTCGAGGCAAAGGAGCTGCTGGCTCAAACAACCTGTCACATTGCCAGTTTTGTAGCCCATTAACTGGAGGTAAAACCTGGTATAAACTCTGACATGGCATGTCTGAATGTGATACCAGGAAGCTGCAATCGGCAGCACAGTTTCCCAATCAGCTCTCAGCGGGACAAATGGAATTTTTCAGGTAAATAGGTAGGATACAGACACAAGAAGTCAGATATGTGATCACATCTTGGTTAATTCACAATGATTTACCCTTTGTAATAATTGCATTCTGGTCCTAGATAAACTTAATTTTTTCCAGTTATCCATTTTATTTCATTTTTTCTGTCAAAGGAAACACTGAGTTTGGCAGAGAAATGAATCAGCAGCTCTGATGCTGATCTCCAAGGTAACACAGGCTTTGTTCCTATTGGTGGAATTGAGATCACACTCCTCATTGTTTAAGGAAAAATTTGAATGCACACACTCCCTCAGTCTGCGGCAAGAAGAGCTAATAATATTGTCAGCATAGCAGGTCCTTCCTAGCCAGCCTCTGGAATACGCTAGCTCTAAGCTACAAATGTTTATACCATAAACCAGAATGTACATTTGCCCAGACCCGGCAGAATGCTCTTGACATCTTTATGTAAAAAGCCCAGGGAAATTATCATTCAGGTAATATTTTATTCTCACAGTTATGGTTCTGAGTCACCTGTTATGGTCTGTGTGTCATGTCCATCTCTGTTTCTGAAATTTCCTTCTCTTTAAACTTGTGGTACCACTGTCTCTGTCTTGAAACACTGCAGTATCTGCAAGGAAATATTTCTATTCAGGTTTCAATATCTGACAGCATCAAGGGGAGTCATGACCTTTACTCTATTCGCAGAGTTTCATTGTGATAATTGGTGTGGCATTGCAATTTTTTATATACTCATTGAAAATATTATGTAGTAATATATGAAAGCACTTCCATATCTGTTTAAAGACTCAGAATTTAGAATAAGGTTTCAAAGAGGAAACAAAATTCTAACCATCCTATTGCATTTTAGGTTCTCACATGTTCAAATTTGCTGTTGTGGTCAAAATAGTCTTTGTGTTTTAGGGTATAAATACTCATGTACATAATACTTTCATACTGTATGCCCATTCCTAATTAGGAAAGCAAACAGCCTGAGTGTTTTTGGAAGTCAAGTGTTTATTGATGATGGCAACTAGGTATTACATACTTCCCATGAAAATAATTACCACATAGATTTCTTGGTTATTGTGTGTCTTGTTGTTGTATGCTTTGAACAACTGCAGATCTTCTCCTGTATCTTCCATTGCAGACTCTAAATGTGTATGTCTGCTAATAATGTTGAGACTGGAAAATATTCGTACTTTAAATCAATAACCTCCATTTCCATCTGTCACAATATTTGTGCCATCTTTAAAATATAAATACATGAAGGTTTCAAGTAGTTTTATAGGCATAAAACATCAAAACATAGTAACATAAAGCCTGTTATTTTCTATAGAAAGCTCTTTCCTGCACATGTTATTTTCCTACTACTGCCAAACAACATCTCTGATGATTGTCAAATTATGCTCAGATGTATGAACATATATATATATATATATATATATATATATATATATATATATTTCATTAGACTATGGAAGAATAATATAGATTATATTTATGAAAGTCTGTCACCATTGTAGTCATAGATTCCTAGCTATTAAGGCTATTTGAGTTATGCCTCCCATCATATAGTCTTATTAACAATATTTATTTGATTTCTGTCCTGATTGATTGGCTATTATGACACAAATACATCTGAAGATTTCTCACTATTTTCTTTTTCTGCCTGTAGCTAATGAGAGGATTAACCTGCAATAATTATACAAGTAGGCAATCACACTTAAATTCATCATAATAGAAGTTGTATTAACATTCTCTAATGATGAAACTATGTAGAAATTTCCAAAGCAGGTTTTTTTTCCACTGTATTGGCGTTGTAAGCATATTTTCAAAATGGTCTGTGAATGTCTAGTTTTGCAACTACAGCTATGACTTTGGCCAATAACCAAATGAAGTATCATACTACTTGGATCTGAGTGAGAAATAGCTGATATGCCTCACAGTTTAAGAAGTTCGGTTTTCCTTCCCTAGACAACTGTTCTATGTTCAAATTGCTGTCCGTGCCCTTCCTCATTGAAGATTTTCTTTGTTACCCTTTTATAGAGAGACTTTTAAATACCATTAATTCCAATAACACTAAGGCATTTACAAGTTTATTTCCCTTTAATATTATCTTAGATTTCCACATCAAAAAAAATGTTCCTTTAATGCCCATACAATAAGTGGTTTTGTTAAAAATTTGAGTAGAATTTGGCTATTAATAATATATTGTTTAAACACTGGCCAGGGAGACATACATATATATCAATTTAGAGATATAGAACTGGAGAAATAAAACTATATATATATATATATATATATATATATATATATATATGCAAAGGCACCTAATTATTATTACGTCTGAGTTTCAATTAAAAAGCTGTGGACAAAAAGTAGAATGCTCTTGTACAAAAATGTAGCATGTTTTAGCCATTTCAATTATATATGGAATAAAGTATTCTGAAAGTCAAATAAAATAAGAAAAAAAATCAGTTTTACAATCTCTCTCATAATACACTGAACCACCTCAATTTAAATCCAATATTTATATAATGTATGACATTTACATTGTATAATTATATTCATACATACATATGCATGTATGTATCCTTTCTTAATATAGTTTATCATTTTATACATGAGTACTGCAATTATCTTATTTTACACTCAATTCTGCTTCTTTCTTTAAAAATATATCTGTACTAAAATTGATAGAATAAATCTTTCTATATGATAAAATTAACACTGGTCCATAGGTAAATCAAGTGATACTCTAGAAGGGGAGTGACAATGGGATGGGACAATAGACACAACAGATGGAGACAAGACAGGATTCTGATAAAGTCTTGTTTATTCAAGGGAATAATCCAGGTATATACAGGTTTAGGGAAAGGAGGAAATTCTCCTTGTACATGATTAACTATGTAACTTATTGGAAACCTACACCATGATCTAATGTTCAGGTGTAAAGATTCTAACACCCTAACTCAAAATATAGAACAGTCAGAATGTTTAGAACACGGGAACAATGGATCAATAACTTCTTGCAGAGTTTGTATTTGATAGATCAAAACAGAAGGAGGTGCCAAGCACAAAAGGGCAAGAGAAAAAGTTTCAGGAGCAGTGAGTCTCTCACAAGATCCCGTTTTAATTTTTATTAATTTTTAGAAAGCCGAAAGTCACTTGAGGGGACTGTCCCTAACTTCAGTTGGGGGAAGCTCCTGTAGTCCCACCCTTAGTCCTCATTGGAAGACAGAACTGCTTTAATTCTGTTGATGTCTTAGATGGCATGCTTAACATAGGTATACATCCTCCTGTTACCCTGTCTCCCTAACCTGCCTATCACACCAGGTTTAAAAACAATTTTCTGTGCACCTCATGTGTGCATGATCTTACCAGTTAAATATTGTCATTTTTTTATTGTTGGTGATGTCTAATTATGATAACGGACCTGTATACTTTTTATTTTCTTGTATAGTTTATATGTTAGTTGCCTCATACACCTGTTGTTTTATAAATGCCATCAACTTAAAAGAAAAGATCCTCGCAAAACAAAAATTATTAGGCAATGTAAGGTGCTAACAAGGGAAGAAGGTAGGGGGCATATTGTTAATTCCTCCCTGGCATTCATAAAGAGGGCAAAATAAAGCTTCTAGAATGTTTTTGCGTATTTGCCAAATTAAATTAAAATACAATGAAAGAAAGTAAAAGTATACAGAAGCAAAGTACTTATAAAACTATACCTGGTAATGCGTGGTAAGGTTACTCCTTATTTCGGGTACAGCTTCTGGCAGAAAGTTTGAGAAATGGGCAGATAAAGTATGCTTTCATCTATGCTTGGTCTGCCAAGAACCTGTTTCCCAACTTTGTCTCATCTTCCCAAGAGGAACCCAAGAAAGATCCAAGTAACACGCAGCCAAATATGTGCAGGTTGTTGTAATATCATAAGTGATTTATTATGAGGATTAAACTTATCAGAGGAATTAATACATAAATAAAATTGACAATCATAACAATTAATTTCAGTTGTAAAATTGATTCTTCCAAAAAAAAAAAGGTAGTGTCACACAATCAGTAACATTAGTAGTTCCAAATAAGGGACATTTGTAAGTAGAAGCAGATACTACTATTGCAATAAAGGAGCCAATTAAAAGCTGAATAGGTTTTAAGGGAGCCACAATCTTCTGAATTGCTGTAAGGGAACTGAGTAAGGCAATGAAATTATCATTGATTCCTCCATCTCCTCATGCCAGAAGATGTCTTGCAGTTATCATTTCATTCTTGGCTCAATTCAACCTGGTAACATAAAGCAAATCACAAGTGGTTATATTTCATTCAGAACAATTGTTAATCAATTAACTATAAGTGTCCCAATGGACCTGTTTATTTTGAATTATTTTGCCACATTTTCCTAAACAATTCATTCAAATAATGGCTGATATTTTAAACCATAATGAGTAAATTCTGGACATTGAGGTTATGATAATTCATAATTTTCCATAATTTTGTCCAGGTCTGATTTATGGTCCATGCAGACCATCTTTGAAGACGAGTGCGAGATCCACATATTTTAATACCAGGTTGTAACCCATGTTGTAATCCCACTATTAAACAAGGACAATTTCCAAAGCTTATTGTCTCTCTATCATCCATATAAACAAAATTATAAGAGGTCCTATCAAAATTATTCAGATATGTCAAGTCATTCCAAGGAGGAGAGAGAATACTTACAGTGATATACACTAAAACATCAGTGTCTCCCCAAAAGACAGGATGAAACGTAGGTGTTAAGGGACATAAGCACAATAACTTACAGCTGATTCCTGAACTGAAGAGACAATTTACAGAGCACATATGGCCAGACAAATTATTTGACTGTAACCGGTCTTTTGGACTGCTGGACAATAATCTGACCATAGGGCACAAGAGATTTCACTTGACCCCAAATTGGTGATTGTGGTGAAGGCTAATGTTGTGGAGGTCACTTCCATGAGTATAATTTTACCATGGCCAATATTGGAATTTCTTTTTCAGGAGCGATAATTGTCATTCATCCTGCAGTGAGACAATATGATACCCTCTCCCTTTCTCCATTAACAATGCAGGCTGTTGTTCAGTATCTATGGCAATTTTTCTGCTAGTTCAAAATTTGGTGTATAAGAAAATATTTGTCAACTCTAGTTAGAATATCCCTTTCGGGCAGATTTACAAAATTTAATATGTATTAGTGAAAAGTTGCCTGAATTCTTGCCAATATCTCACTTTAATTTCTTACCAAAATCTTCGTTTTTAAAATTTCAATTTGATGTTTTAAAATGTAATGGACCTGAAAGTATGATTATTTTATCAAAATGGAATTTTATATTGAACATTTAGATGATTATTTTTGTATGTAAATGTCCACATTCTTCTTGAACAAAGGAAAAGGCTACCAATGATCCCTTAGAGCATTTCCAAATTTTCAAATGTCAGATCTCCAGAAATTTTGCATGTGATCATAGGTTATAACCTATTCATTAAGGCATTTTGAATACACTCTTTAACTAATTTTAATTTTGACTGATTTGTCCATATACAAAGCATTTTAAATCTTTTAAATTTTTATTTTCTTTTGCCAATTATAATAAATTGTGGCCATAGTTTCAGCAGCCAATTGCAGTTTTCTACTTTCCGATGGAATATCTTTTCATACTTTCCTATAACTATTAATACTTCTTGTTTCCTGAAATGAAAGCATAGCTCATTATAACACACCTTGGCATTTTTATATGCTTGGCCTTTTCAGAAGTTATTTCCTTGCTTCTTCTCCAATTACAGTCTTTCTATTGCTTATTTTAGTCGAGCTAGGAATTCAATATATAAGGCTCATTAGATTTCTGGATAATTTTAATACACGAACCAACGTTCTCTCCCAGGGAGCGAAGATGCTCCCTTGCTCCGTGTCTATTTTTCTCAGTTATTCATGTATTTCAATGGGGGTATTAGCCTGCTGATTAGGGTTATCACAAGCTCCACTTGCCTGTTAACATAGGAAAAATAATTTCCCTCAGCACAGGATTGATGCTGATTGCATTAATTTGAGCATTTTCAAATTTAATACCCCTTATTTACCACTGAAAATATTTAGGCTCCTTTTTTAATCACTTGTTCATTTTATCTTCTAATATAATTTTCTATTCTATCCCAATGATATTGACAATTACAAAATCATAATACCGCTAAAACAAAAATTTATTAATTCTAGTAAATAAGACAGTTATAGGAACATTTCTTGGGCTGAATGCTTAATAATAATGTTTTAGTGCCTCTCTGTCTCTCTGTCATTTTTTCTCATTCATAAAATACCTTTAATATACTCAAAAACCTTAACTTTTAATTTTAGTATTTACCCCTCATGCCTTGAATACATGTCTCATTTTATGCTAAGTAATTGTTTGTCCTGTTATCGCTGTTAAGGTTACTGAGGTTAGAAGACACAGCAGGTTCCTGTGTTTCTCTGCCTCTTACTTATACTTCACTTTATATGAGCCTCTCTAAACAGCTTCTTCACTGAATCCCCGTGTTCCAGCCAAACGTTGGGCACCACTTTACCCTGGCCCACCTGTAAGTCAACAGAGTCCCTAGAGGGGGAGTGAGAATGAGATAGGACACACACAGGAAATAGAGACAATTATTATTATTATAGAGACATTATTATTCTTGTAGTTTATCCAGTGCTCAAAAATCCTAGTATGCCTAATAGGACGACAAATGAAGCTGAACCCTTATTAAAGGGGCTATTTAATATATTTAACTAATTAAAAGGAAAGTTACAATTATTTTCAGAGTGGCTTGCCATGAAATGTGCTTTGTAACTATAGATGGCATGAAATTGGTGGACATACATCTTCCTTAAATAAATTCTCCTTTTATTAAATATTATATATATATATATATATATATCATTTTATGCTGCTTAGATTTAGAGAGAACTTCTAATATTTTGAATCTACTTGTTTTTTTAATTAATTATAATAAGTTATTATTTAGAGGATATTTATGTATATTGATTGCATGTAAGAAACAAAAATATGAAGGACGCTTCGTGCAAAGGTAAATGGGCAAACACCAATAAGCCTTAAAACAAGCAAACACAAATGTTAACAATTTAAATATATTTATTTTTTTCTGAAATCAATTAAACTGAAATCATTTCTTTATCATTAAGACATTGTGAGCTACTATCTATATTACACCTGGGTCTATATGGGAGAGGGTTTCAAATCTACATTTCTTTCTACAATCCACCGACTACGTTGTATAGTACTCTAATCAAATTAAATATATTATGTATTCTAATTAAACGACATGAAAAATATAATTGCATTTTTATTTGTATATAATTCATAATATCATATTAAATGTAACATATTTAATTATAATTTGACTGTGTAAAAAACCAAGCATAAAAACAGATAAAAAATGACAAAAAATCAGAAGCAAGATGCACTTGACAGCACAGATTCACAAAAAAAATCTCCAGACAGGAATAGAGGTTTCCGTGTATATAGGTAGATTCCAGGCAAAAGCAGCTGCCAGCTAGCACAACCTGTCACATTTTTGCCAGTTTCATTGGCTGTTAACTGGAGGCAAAATGCCGGGTAAATGCTTTTTTATCCTGTGTTCCTCTATCAATTGCTCTGCTTCTTTCCCCAATAAAGGTAAGGAGAGAGACACAGATGACTCATCAGCTCAGGATGAGATGAACAAACTAAATGCACTCCTCTGCTTTCCGGTCCTTGTCATGAGATCTCTCTGCTTATTGGTTCCTACATGGGATAAAAAGGACTGCAGTGAGGGATTTTGCCAGTGGGGCATTGACTAAAGTCCTGCTCAAAGCTGGACTTTAGTCAAAGCCTCACTGTAAAAATCACCACAGGAGAATATGTGTCTCCGAGACCTGCAGAATAGAGAATCGTAGGAAAAGCAAGGAATTTGTGAGAAGTGTCACCTGATTCCATTTGCAGTGCAGGAAATGTGCTCGAAGCTGAAGCCACTGATTGTGCCGTAAAATCTTCAATTCCTAGTTAGCTTTAAATTATATATTTTCTGAAATGATGATTTTCTTAGCAAGTCTGTTCATGACAACGCTGGAATGTATTCATCTAATGCGCCATTGGAAACCTCATTAAGATAATTGCTATGTTTGCAAAAAGCCTCAGTCACCTGGGAATCTGAAAATTTCAAGTGTAAGATTCTGTAATAAGTGTTTAGGGACTCTGACATGACATTTCTGAATGTGATACCAAGAAGCTGCCATCTGCAGCAAAGTATCACAATCAGCCTTCAACAGGGCGAAATGAAATTTCAGGTAAAAGCAATCATCCTATTGCTTTTAAGGTTCTTACAGTCTCAGATTTGCTCTTCTGTTTGACATAGTCTTTGTGTATTTGCGTATAAATACTCTTGTACATGATACTTTCTCACTTTTCCCCCATTCCTAATTTGGAAAGAAATGAGCATGAGGTTTTTGGAAATCCAGTGTTTATTAATGATGGCAGTGAGGTATTACATACTACCTTTGAAAATAATGAACACAATAGATATCTTTGTTATTGTTTGTCTTGTTTTATATGCTTGGAAAAAGTGCAAAACTTATCTTGTACATTCATCTCATACTCTAAATGTGTATGTCTGCTAGTAAAGTTGATACTGGAAAACATTGATACTTCGTTATCAAGAGCCTCCATTTCAATCTGATACAGTATTTCTGCCATCTTTAAAATATGCGTGTATGAAACTTCCAAGTAGGTTTTAAAGACATGAAACACCATAACATAGGACCACACAGGCTCTTAGTATCTATAGAAAGACCTTCCCTGCTCAACATTATGTTATTTTCCAACTAGTGCCAAAGGAATATCTCTGAAGAGGTCAAATGATGCTCAGATATGTGAGTATTTCATTAGGTTCTGTGAGAATAAAATATATCATTTTTATGTAAGTCTGCCATCATTGTAGATTTACGGTCCTAGCCATTAAGGCTGCTTGAGTGATTCCTTCCATTATAGAGACTCAATAACACTATTTACTTGCTTTCTTGATTTTTTGTTCACTCTGACAAATATATATCTGAAGACTTTTTCCTATTTTCTCTTTTCAGGCATGTAGCTAATGAGAGTGAAGAATTTTGGTCATGTTAATTTCAGGATTAATCTTCAATTATAGCCCAAGTAGGTAATTCCATTTAATTTACTAATAATAGCAGAATTATTGATATTCTATGATGATGAACATATTAGAAACTTCCAAAACAGGTTCTTTCCACCATATTGGCAGTTGTAAGCATATTTTTGAAATGGTCTTTGAACCTCTAGTTTTCCTTTATGGTCATGATTTAGGCCAAGAAACCAATTAAATAACTAACTACTTGAATCTCAGTGAGAAAATCTGATACCTCTTATTGTTCTTAATTCCTGCGGGTTAGACGGCAGAGACGGTTATGCGAGGAAAAGACACAGACAGGCGCGGTCCCACGTGGGTACACTTTAATGGAGGAGGGGCAACAAACAGGAAGGGGGTGCAGACACGGTAGGAAAGGCGGGGAAGAAAAGGGAGGAGAGAGAGAGAAGGAGAGAGAGAGGGGGCTTGTGGCGGCCCCCGCTTTTTAACGGGGAATGCAAAACCTTTGGGAAATGTGTCCCCAGGGGAATGCTGGGAGTTGTAGTGTCGCAAGAGAACAACATTTCACCCTTTTGGTTTGATTAAAAAAAAATTGGGGGACCTTAAAGGGTAGGGAATTGGGGCATAGTCTGGTCTCTCATGGCTGCTTCCTGCTGGCTTTGGGCGTTGAGGTGTCCAGGAAATGTCCGATTATCTTGGCAATGACCCATTGGCGTTTGCGGTCGCTGGTGTAGTTGGTCACTGGTGTCCAAGGTCACTGGTGTAGTTGGTCACTGGTGTCCAAGGTCGCTGGTGTCTGGGATGGTTGATTGTACCGCAGGCATTTGAAGTACTGACTGTCGTCTGAGGCGACTGGCGATGGCTGATTGTACCGCTGGCATTTGAAGTCCTGGCTGTCGTCTGAGGTGGCTGATTGAAGAAATCTGTGTGGCTTTTCCTGAGTAGCTGGGTCATCATTAAGATGCTGGAAGGCAAAAGTTGCATTAGTAAAAGAAAAAAAAATTAAAGAAAGGGGGGGGGAAATTTTGGGGGGGAGCTGGGGTGAGGGGGGGGAGAGGAGATCCGGGTGCGGGAGTCTTAGGATGTCCGGGGTTAAGAATGATGAAAAATTAAGTGATACTTATTCCATTATTCTGTTTGTGTTTGATTTGTTTAGATGGGTTGGGCTGGCATCCTGGAGCTTAAGGAAACTGTCTTAAAAGAAATAGATTCTAACCATACATTTCTTAACATTTCAGGAGCCACTGCTGCAGTCAGCGGCTGGCCTGTTATGTTAAAGAGCTTTGTAGAGGAGAATCTGCTTACCACTTGACTCCGTATTTGATGGGGGTACCTGTAACGACAGCTAGACGGTTTTTTATGAATTTAAAGAAGGGAGGGTGTGTTAACACAGCAACGGATCGGGACCATTGTTTTCCTTAGACTGTAGTGGGGGGGGGGGGCTGAATCTGGCGTCCTTTGGAACTTAAGAGAACAGGGTCCGGTTTGAGTTACCCTATATGAAGGATTATCTTGAGCTGTGGAGATAAACGGTTTAAGATGTGACAGGTGAATCCAATGAGGAATTCCTTTTAGCTTGGCAGCTGTGGGAGTTAAAAGAATTACTCTGAAAGTGCCCTGCCATTTAGGGGAAAGGGGGTGAACGGCTTTGGCCTGGGGGTGAGAGTAATACCTTATCTCCTACTTTAACCAGCGGTGGACATGTCCTGACTGTGGGCATATGAGTAAAATCCAGCTGCCAGTCAGTTCCTGGAAGGGAGCCCCTTGCTTGGTGGGTAGGGAAAGGGAAGCTACGATATTTAGTCCTGGGATGTGACTTTTGGCAGATCTGACAGGAGGCTGCTGTAGCTTTTAGGAGCCTGATATCATTAGGTGTAACAACGGAAGAGTGGTGGTTAGTGACAGCAGTAGCCTAGAGGGGCTTTGGAAGATCGAGGGGGAGGCGTAGGACAGGGAGGAGACTCTTTAAGCCACTTGTGTGACCTGTGGCGGAGAGGAGACAGGGAAGAATCCAAAGACATGCACGACCTGTTGCGGGAGAAGTGGGGTGAGGCTGGTTCGGAGAGGGAGCGGGTAAACCAGGGAAGAAAGAGGAATGGGTGAGCCATCGCTGTTGCTTGACTGGGCGGAGCGAGAGCGAGTGGCCCCTAGAGGCGGCGCGGTGGGGGGGTGTGTGGAGGCAGGGGGGTTGAGGTTTGTCCGCGGGATCCATCGCAGCAGCGGGAGCAGAGGGTAGCTTTCAGAAGCTGGCCGAGAGGGGAAGATGGGGGGATTGGTTTTGAATGCTTAAAGCCCATTGCTGAAGCGCAGCCCACCCGCAAAAAAGGTACCCAAAAGATACCGCGAACATGACAGGCCAAAAAACACAGGCGTCCGAGTGTTCTTGGGGCGTGCTAACACATAACTGGCCCGAACCCAGCTACCATAAGGGGGAGAAAAAGCCCCGGCTGGGAGGAGACAATTAAGCTTTTCAGGGCCTGCGTAAGGCCCAAAGGCACCACAGCAGAGCGGGCCGGAAAAAAGACAGGAAAGGTTAGAAAAAAAAGAGGAAGAAGCCCGGAGCACCGAACTCCCGGGCATGCAGACTAAAGCAGGCTTCGGCCAAGGGCAAAAAGCCAGGGGAGGGAGGTTGGAGACCTAGTCCAGGATGTGCAAAGAAAGCCAGCCACACAGTCTTTGAACGCCCCGGGGGGGGGGGGGGGGGGGGGGGGGGGGGGGGGGAAGGAAGCCAACTCAGGTTAACTCATGGATCAGGATGAGGCAGTGGAGAATGGCCGTGGCAAACAGGTGCAGATGAATGCAGGCAGTCGGTTCCTTTAGACCTTGTGCCAGTGAAACCCAGAGGCAAAAGCCTTGGGAGCCAGGATGAAGAGGTAACCCAGTCAAGGACGGCACCAAATATTTTTCTTAATTTCTGCAGGTTAGACAGCAGAGACGGTTACAGCGAGGAAAAGACACAGACACGCGGTGGACCCACGTGGGTACACTTTAATAAGGAGGGGCAACAAACAGGAAGGGGGTGCAGACACGGTAGGAAAGGCGGGGAAGAAAAGGGAGGAGAGAGAGAGAAAGGGGGGGGGGCTCGTGGCTCACCCACTTTTTAACGGGGAATGCAAAAGCTTCTGGGAAATGTGTCCCCAGGGGAATGCTGGGAGTTGTAGTGTCGCAAGAGAACAACACCCCTGATAGAATAAGTAGTTCAGTTTTACAATATCTCTCCAAATAGACTATGAAGCATCTCAATTACTTTCTAATATTTGTTTAAGTTTATGTATGTGTACATGTATGAGATTGACTGTGCATAATTATATTAATGCATACCTATGCATGCATGTGTACACTATCTTAATATAATTTTAAATTTCATACATGAGTACTGTATTTACTTTATTTTATGCTCATCCTTCTTCCTCCTTTAAAACAATATCTATACAGAAAGTGTCAAAATAAATCTTACTACATAATAAAATAATTATATATTATTGTGTAATACAATTTTATACATCAGTATTCCTATTGAGTAAACTCTGTTGTGATTTTGTAGAACCAATTTAGCAGTAACCTTTTCTAATTCAAAGGCCTATTTATATAACTATACAGTAAAAAAAAATGATTCTTTCTCTGATAGCCTCCAATATTTGTAAGTGCCTTTCCTGCTAATTGAGTTACTTTTAGAGAGTTTTCTACCTTTTTTCATATTTCAATAGGGGATGTTATTATGCTAATCAATTTTTCTTTTAGTTAATTTTAATTAGCATTTAAGATTTCTAAATTTTAATAGCATAAATTTATCCGTTTTATATTTTTTATTGAAGTTATAAGCCAATGATTTTTGTGCGTCTATGGATAATATATTTAGGGCAGAGTTAGAAATTATATTCCTTCAGAAAATTTGCAGATAAGGTTTCTGATTGTGCTATCATTATCTTGCTAACAATATAGAGTAGGCTTGATTGTTGCAATTGGCATAGTTTACTTTCTGTCAATTATACAGCTACAGTTCTACAAAAACTAAGAGCAAAAATTTAGACATGTCTATGCATATGTAACCAGTAATACCCTCTGAAGATAAATTTGGATGAATTGTGATATTTGAATTAGCTGAAGAAATCATGCATTTTACCTTTATATTTTGTAGTCATTTTAGTTGTGAGATTGACCTTAACATATTAGGATGATTATAAGTAGATATCATAGCTATATTAATGGTTTAAGAGACTGACTCTCAGATCCAAATAGTGTAAAATATTGGTTATATAACTTATTGTTAAGATATATAGTATAACTTAATTTTATTAATTATTTGTAGATTTATATGTGTGTCTCCTGAATGTTGCTTGGATATATGTGTGGATTATATAAAAACAGCAAAGACACTGTAGTGATCCTATGGTTTTAATTCAGGAGTCAGACAAAAATAGTAAAATTTATATGTAGGCAAAATGTACAATCAGAGATGATAACATGGTAGAGTAGTTATTTACATATAAAAATATCAGTGTGTACTCTAAATAATAACCCTTATGTTATTTTCTGCTTTTATGTTAAAAAAATTCACAGACTCATAAAGTGCTCTGTCCATGAACTGGTAATTTGAAATATTAACAACTCGATCTATTTCTAATATATACATGTGTAAAAGACTGGTATACAAACATGACCATGTTGTCGCAGGACATTAGGAAATACAGTAAATGCAGGAGCTTTGAGATTTGCTTGCCTGTTTTCATACCACATGTGGCAAATTTCAAGGCTGTGGCATGCTATTATACATTATGTGTATGTGCCCTTTATTATTGGATTTAAATTGTGTATGTTTGCATATGTAATTGTTTCATTACAAAATTCAGAGAATGTTCTACTGTATTATGATTAACATTATGACTTCATAATATTATCTGAATGGCTTATGTTATTTACAGAAATGATGAAAGGGGAAAGATATATTTTTCTCAGGTATGCTAGCTTTGATGTAATTCCCATGTGCTTGAACAATGCCCCATATACAAACACACACACACACACACACACACACACACACACACACACACATTTTCCCTGAAGTCAGATAGTCAGATGTCACATAAGAGAGAGAACAGATAAATGACCTGAGAATGGGGTACTGATAGTGGTGATCACAGGGAAAATCTGAAGTAAGCATTGCACTGAATTATATTACAATTTAATTATTCATATAAAATGTCTTATACATGTCAAAAATATTAATTGGGACTATTACTCTGAAATCAGTGTCAAAACATATACACATATGTGAAACACTAATACAAGCATGCAGACAATTGTCAAATTTAGAAAATAATACTATGTTTTGTTTTTTCTGAAGGAAAACATCAAATTGTTGCCAAATTATCATGACATTGTTAGATACAGTTTTGTAATTTTTGCATGTTCAGACTGGGTTTTAAAATAACATTCCTATTTAGAAAATATCCTTATTATTACATAATTTTTATGTAAAATGCATACATATTGGTGTAAGAGGGCCTTCTGTTTACGTGTTGCTTTCATTGGTTAATGAATAAAAGAACTGCCTAGGCCTTTTGATACAGGAGAACTTAGGTGGGCAGAGGAAACAGAACTGAATACAGGGGGAAAAGAAAAGCAGAGGAGAGAGCTGCCATGGGGCCACCAGAGTCAGACATGCTGAATCTTTCCCGGTAGCCACTGCCATGTAGCAATATACAGATTTATAGAAATGCATTAAATCAAGATATGAGAGTTAGCTGATAAGTGGCTAGAGCAAATGGGTTAAGAAGTGTTTTAATTAATATAATTTCTGTTTTGTTATTTTGGGGCTAAGTGAGCAGGATGGCTGGGACAAGCAAGCAGCCTTTCCCTGGAACAACTGGCACTCAACGTGATCAACTGAATCAATAAAATCTATGAACTACAAAAGGTATGAATAAATACAACTGCTTATTAAAGTTATTTATTTGCAAATAGAAATGCAACATATAAACTAACACTCTATACACACTGTGGCAATGATGTGTATCCATTATTATCATCAGAGTTTCAAAAACACAATTTCAGCAATCTCAATCCATTACTGTTTGGTGAGCACTAGCAGCTCCAATATCATCTAGTCTGGTAATCTTCTGGTCAATCCACTACACCAAACTTCCATGAAGCTATTGTGGTTCATTGTCTTCCTGTAAACACACACACAGACACATACATGAGAGCACGTGAACTTGACCCTATATTATCTATTGCATGGTTTTGTCCTTTCCATAATCCAGTGCAATGGTCTTTCCATTTGCTTTAGACAAAAGTCTCTTCTACACAATCATGCCAAAATCTATGCATGGTATAATGCTTGTGGGGAATTCACACTTAGAATATTTAGAATAAGAAGTGCATGAAGCAGTGAATTATGTGGTGACTGAAGGATCACTCATATTTATTTATTTATTTATTTATTTATTTATTTATTTAAATTGTTTATTCAAGAAGCCAGGGAAAATGCTCCCCTGAGTCAGCACTTGACCTGCAGCATCAATATAGAACCTGGGAAAATGAGGTCACTTCTCCCCTTACAAATATCACTGTATTTCTCCAGGTTTTCCATAGACAATTTTAAAATAGGCACAGTAACTGAATATCTACCAATCATTTTTGAAATTCCTTCAAAGTTTTCAAGCTATCTTTTCTAATTTTCAATTACTGAGTCTTAATTTATTTAGGATAAGACATATGTCCTGAAAATGGGAAAGATGTCTGCATTTGTATTTTCTGTAGGGAACTAACTACCCAGAAGGGAAAGGCTCAGCTGAAGCTCTACAAGAATTGCAAGCAAATTCCTAAATTTTTTTTCATGGACATCAAGACCCATGATGGATAATGTAAACTTGTTGTAAATATTTTGAATATTTTATATTGCATGAACCACATATATCTGGCATAAAATTACCCTGTTTGCCATTAACTGAGGCAAAACTTATCAATGATATCTCCCAATTTGCTCCCTTAATTGGCTGATAGAATACTAAATGAAAATCTTTGAAAACATTTTGGAACAAAAGGGATGGTAAAATCAAGCTATTAAATCTAAATTATTTTATAGGTACCATTTGGTCAATACCTTAATGATTAGGTAATCCAGTCTAGTCTCTAAAGCTCAACCTAGATGCATGGTCTCATAAACTATTTATAATTCTTGTATCATTTTCAATTTTGCAGATTTCTATGTTGTGAGAGAACATATTTACATGTTTACTGCTGCAAAGCAGCAGCCATAACTAGTCCTTGTGTGTATGAGTTTAAAATTCCTCATCAATTTTGAATGTAATCAGAAATGACACCTTTCTTTCTAAAAGATGTCAAAGCAAGCGGATATATTATATTAGTACTCTCATAGGCAAGCTGTTTAATAAGCAAAAATCAACATTTTGGATTTTTAATAATTCTTATTGATGGCTGCAAAAGCGTGGAAACAAAATCCTGGAACAACTAAACAAATAATACCTGTATTATTTAAGGTAAGTCCATTGTATGCACTCCTGAAGAAAGATATTTATTCCAAGAATTACTTAGGCCATATTACTCACAGTTGTGAACGGACGTTGTTCTGAAAACTCACTTTTCCTCATCAGCTAGACTTTTCCTGTCAGGCAAGCTTTGGCTATGTATATCCAATTTGTGGAGTATGGCTTCTAAATCCATATACACTAGCAGCATGTGTGAAAGGAGAAATTTGGTCACACTGAGCTTAGATTGTGTTTAATACTTTGCCTTGTTTTAATGGTTTCAGGTCTCGTTGTCTGAGTAGATTATCTCATTTTCTATTCTAGAAATACTGGAAATCCCTGATCATCTTCACATCGGCTCACTCCTTCTCTGGAAACTAGCTTGTACGAAAAATGCACAAAAAAATGTGGGTGTTTGCCTTGCTCCAGGAGATCTCTGCACCATGGATGGATCTAAACCAGCGACTATGGTAGATGTGTAATTCTTTTATGACAGAAGATTTTCAAACACTTCAACTTCTGTGAAAGTGAAATTACTAAGTCTCTCAGTCCTTTTAGCTCCTGTTCTAGCTTTCCACCATCTTTGACTCTCAGAATTCCTAGTCATATGTGCATGACTTTAAAGATCCTCACTATGGAATTTGTGGCTTCTTCTTCAGCTAACTAGGCTCAGACTAATAGTATCACAGTCCCATAAATACTTCTTAATCTATCAGATCCTCTGTCTGCAGATGGTCTTGTCTCATTTCTAACCATTTCAGGGGAGCCATCTGTGCTGCTCAGGGTAGAAATCATAACTCTCCCTGTTAAGCACCCACAAATGAAGTAATTTGTGCTGCCAGAAGCTGATATATTTCACTGTTGAGAAAATTGTAAGTTCTTAATACATTTTTGTAGTGAGGAGCTGCAGGCTACTTCCCACCCCTGGATCCAGCCACAGACTAGCTTTACCCAAATTAATTACATGGAAACTGTATTCATTTAAACACTGTCTGGCCCATTAGTTTTAGCCTTTTATTGGCTAATTTTCACATCTTGATTTGAACCATATTTAGTAATCTGTGTAGCATCAAGCGATGATGGCTTACAGGGAAGGATCTCAACCTGCATCCATTTTAAAGAGGAGAGATATAGTGTCTGCCTCCTTGCCTTCTTCCTCCCAGCATTTTGTTCTGTTGACTCTGCCTACCTAATTTTCTGTCCTATCAAAGGACCAAGGCAGTTTCCTTCTTAACCAACAAGAGTAATAGATAGACAGATGACCCTCCTCCATCATCTTTTAAATGCCATATTCTTTAGGTTTTTGAGTGTTGAAGATTATCTATCTAACTGAACTATATCTCTGCATATCTAGAAAACCTACATAATGCTACTAAGATTTTGATCATTATTAATGACTATCAATTAATCTTCTTAATTATACATATTTAAATGATCTGCAAAGAAAAAATTAAGCGAGAACAAAAATACATATACCAAAATCAACCTTATATCAATCTTAGTAAACTAAGATCCAATACAAAGCAAAGTGTTCATTACTCTATATAATATCCCACCTTAAATAAAGATAAACATATATAATTATTTGGAAGTTTGCATGTAGTTTTCTGCAAAATGCTTCCTATGCTTGTTGGGAAATTTTTTATAGAGCTTCAAAAGATCTTCTGGGAGCTTTTGCTCCCTCAAATAACATTGGCCTGGAAACAATCCACAGGTTCTCATCTTCTGTGTAACAAAAGCAGGGCATCTTGTCAAACGTAACATATCCACCATGTGGTGATGGTACACACCTTTATTCCCAGTACTTGGGACTCGAGAGTCAGAGGCAGGTGGATCGCCATGAGTTTTAGTCCGTTCTGTTCTACAGAGCTAGTTTCAGGTCAGGCTGCAAGGCAACAGAGAAACCATGTCTTGAAAAACCAAAAAACTAAAAGAATATCTTTAGATTCAAATTTTGATGCATTGAGAATATATATTTTCATAAACAATAGGAGCCCTTGAATCAACTGTTCATCTGCCATACCTGTATGACATTCAGTAATATTTTTAAATTTAATTATTTTCTTTTGTTATTTTCCAACATGACTGCAGCCTGTACTCGCCTCCTATTTCACCCCTACATTTGGACAACCTCTTACTCTGTTTTCCACAGTATTCTCACAGTATGAAGGAGGTTTCTCAAGGACACCAGGGAAGCTTGGCATAACAGCTTGCCATAACACCAGTCACCTCTCCCTATATTTATGCAGAAAAATGCAATCCTGCATGAGGAGCAGGTTTCAAAGTATCAGCCAAAGCCACAGAGGCAAATCATTCTCTCACTGCCAGGAGTCCCACAAATAGATCAAGCATCACAACAGTAACAAATAAGCAGAGGAACTAGGTGGGTCTCATGAAGGTACAGTGGTTTTAGGTATATTCCACAGTAATTTCTGAAAGTCATTCAAAGTTTGTCTTCTTTCATTTTAATTTCACATTTCTGAGGCTTAACTTCTTTTGGATAAGAATATATTCCAAAATATTCAAAAGATGGCTATTCCTTTCATGGGGAAATTACTAACTCTAAAAAGACAGGATTCTGCTGAAGCTGATAACATATTACAAACTTACTTCATTTATATGGACAAGTTAGTCATCATCATTAAAGCATAATATACACTTCTGGAAATTGAAATGTAAGATATTGTGTAGCTTGAACCACAGATATCTACCATAATATAAAACAATTTGTCATACCCCAAGGCAAGATTTTCTAATGCTATTGTCTAATTTGATATATGAAATAAACTGATGAAACCCCAAATGCATATCTTTGACAATTTGTGTGAGCCCAGGGGATTGTATCAAAAGAATTTTTTAATGTAGAAAATATTATTGGTATCTTTTTATGGAAGAAACAGAAGTCAATGCAAGATATAAAGCTCCATTAACTCTCATTAACGATTCTTAAATCTTATATCAATCCTCAATTTCCAGATTTCTTTGTCAGGAGGAACATCTTTAACTGTTTTTTTTTTTCCTGTAAAACAGAAGTCATAGCTAGGCACTGGCTACACGAGTGTCTAATATCTGAGGATATTCAAATAAAATCAGAAATATTACTCTTATTTCTAAATGGTCTCAACAAGACTTAAATACTGCAACGGTATTTTATTAGGTTAACTTTACTTCTCAATCATTCAGTTTCTGTGTCTCCAATTAATCTGTTTGCTTATTGCATCATCATGAAACAATTCTTCATGTCCCTGAATTAATTGACATTAGTCTTCAGTCTGCTCTCCAGAAGAGAGAAGTTTATTCCAGGCCTTCTTTTCTTTGAAGTAACCTGGGCATATACTGCTATTTCAAAATTTAATTGCTGATTTCTTTTTCTATGTAGTCACTTACCAGTAAGCATATGCAAAGGAAAGGAAATTTGTTGGGTCTTATTTCTCAGATCTGTGATCCAACGTTTATCTTCATGTTTGCTTTTCTACAAGATATAGTCTCCATTTGAGAGGCAAACTTTGTCCAGTTGTTTCCATTTCCCATAATGTAGGCTTCCAAAGTACTGTACTCCAGTAGCATTTGAATCAAAGAAACATTTGATCCACACTGAGCTCGAGTTGCTTTTTATTCTTCGAGTTGTTTGGCCTCAGGGCAACTAAGTAATTATTTGTCCTGCACATATATTTGCTCTATTGCTATTAACATTTGTACTTTCTCTCCTCAACAAGTTCTTTCCAGAAACTAGATTTCTTGAGAGATATACAACACATCTGAGTGTTTGCATTACTCCAGCAGGTCTCTGTATCATTGCTTGATCTAAACCAGTCCTTGGGTAAGAAGAGGAGTGCTTTTGTGATAAGAGGAACTTTAGAGAGTTTCCAACTTCTGTTAAGGTAATATTGCTAAATTTCTCAAGCTTTTTAGATCCTGCCTAATTATTCCACCAGTTACTACTTCTCAGCATTGCTCACCAGAAGCAAAGGACTTGAAAACTCCCTATTCTTTTTCTTAGCTGTGTCTACTCATAGGTCTCTCTAGGCACAGACTGATCATAATCAAACAGTAATATAAATGTTTCCTCATTTAACAGCACCTGTGGTGGATAGGAGTATTCTGTCTGACTTCTAACCATTGCAGGCGGAACTACATTTTACTTTTATGTGCAAATACAAACTCTCCCTTATGAGCCCCCACAAAAGAAAATAATACTTTGTGCTAATTCCAGGTTATAATGTTCTTGGTATTTCACCTCAATTTTTCTGTGTCCACGGCACCATGCTTGGGAAATCAAAGGCTGAGCTTCTCTACAAATTCTAAAAATTTCAGTTTTTGATACTGATCTACCTAAGCTTCACTAGCTTGTAAATTATCTCCAAAGCAATTGCATAGTCACTTAACTACTGTTTTCTCTCGGGGAATAGCTTCCGCCATCTCGATTCTGAAAATTTCAAATGGCTGATTCCACAATCACTGTTTTTAGGGCATGCACCATGGCATTTCTGAATGTGATCCCAGTAAGCTGCAATTGTACAGCAAAGAATCAGCCATTAGAGGGCAGAAATGAAGGATTTTGGGTAGATAGGCAGGATACAGACCCAAGAAGTGGGATATTGAATCATCTCCTAGTCACCTCCCAATGCTTTCCTCTTTTGATATTGCATTCTGTTGTGAAATAAACGGCATTTTTTGTCATCCACTTCCACTTTCATATTTTTTGCCAGACTACACATTGAAATGGGATGAAATGAATCAGCATCTCTGATGGAGATCTCCAGAAGAACCAATGGATTTTTTTTCTATTGGTGGAAATAGGATATTTCTCCTCATTGGTTCATATTCCAGGAACTACTTGAAAGCACACAATCTTGCTGCCTGAGGCAAGGACAACTAATAAAACTTTTAGCATAGCAGGACCTTACTAGCCCTGCTCATCCTATATTCCATTTCTCGGCTGCTCATCCCTAAAACAAAACAAGGTTGAATAGGACTAAGTAGCAAAAAATGTTGATATAAAACATATCAGTGATTAGGCATGTGTCAGTGTCACCAGAGATGATTCCCTGGGATGTCATGAAATTGGACATGCTATGCTGAAGAGATCAGAGAAAGACAAGAAAAGGAAGTGGCAAAACTGAGTTACTAGAGAACAACTGTGACAAAATTTGAATGGATCCTTAGTCGTTGCAGAAAAATTTTTGAAAGAAAGAAAGCATTTGTGTGGATGCTATTGGTGCAAAACTTAAAGACAGCTAGGAAGTTCATAGAAGGTACCCATCATGGCAATCTAGGGGAAGACAAGCCATGCATTGTGTGGGTAAATATCTATTGCAACTTTTCACTATGCTGTCAAATTTAAAATGTACAGCCTAGGAATAACCACAACCTTATTCCATTGCTGAAACAACCAACAGATGAAGA